GTGGACTGGAGGATGATTGACCGAACTTTTCCCAGCCCTAAGAAGTTGTCTCCGGCTAAGGCTTCGAAGCCAATGCCACAAAACGCCTTGCCCAAGACCCCCCCAAACCAATTCACGCCTCTCGTTTGGCTTCGGGGCGCCTGTGGCACCAAACCGAGTGGTCTGACCTTCCGGACAAGCGCTCGACAGCTTTAGCTTATGGAGTGGGGTTCCCCAGTGGGGCTGTGAGACAATTACCAGCAACCCGGCTTGCAACCCTCCGACCATTGATGAAACTTGCCGGGCTGGAAGCAATGCGACACCTAGCCGCGCATCAGCGGGACTGGAGGTCCAGGGGTCCCTGTTGCTGATGTGTGCAACGCTTCGTTGAGCTATGGCCTTTACCACGGGGATGCAGTCTTTCGTTCTGTGGATTGCGGTCTTCTCACCTGCCCAAAGGACCTGACATGACATGACAATAAAAGGCTATCCTTTTGCGGCCATGATGCTCCTTACTTTCTCTGGTCGGAGCGTCACTGATAAGATCAGATAAGCAGGTCAATCAGGTCTGGTTTCAATGGCCAATCATTCTGGATAAAGAGTTGGACTCCCCATTGATGAACCTCGGCTGCAGGGACCTTTAGATTTGACAAGGGCGGATTGTGCAGTCAAGAAGGATAAAACCAAAAGAAGCCGGTGAGACATATCCGCGTTCGGGCCCCGCGCCAAATGCGCCAGACCGCTCCTGGAATCTTCCAGGGACGCCACCTCACCGCACGCCGCAGGCCCTTCTTGTCAACGACCCGAAAAGGACATGACGAAAAAGGATGCAGGTCGTTGAAGTTAATTCTTGATTGAAGGGGGACCGAAATGGGGCCAACCAACCAGATTTATCTTAGCATATATTGTCAATGCGAAACGAATTGTGAACCCAAACACATGCACAATCCACACAATTGAGATCGTGAACACTCGCTTAGCCTTGGGTCGTCATAACACGGTGGTGACCTTTTGGTATGTCGCCAAGCACAGTTTCAACAGCGGCTGGGTTGATGTTGAAATGGGAAAAGCAAGGCCGGGTCGATCCAGCAGAGCTCTTGCATAAAGTGTCTTTTGTGTTCCTACGCGACCGGGAGCAAATCAGTTTCCGAACATGTAATGCTGCCCCTGGATTTGTCTAAAAGCTCGCAAATATACCCCAAACAAGTCATAGACACGTGCTACACAGGCCCAACAAAAAGCAAACAGTTATCTGTACCTGCCCCAGTCTCTTCTGCAAATTGCCCAAACGCCGCGTGAAGAAGGGTGGTTTCTGGATGGGTAAAAAGAGGGGGGGGGGGAATGGACCCTTTGAAATAGGTGATTCAATTTGTTGGGTGTCCAACCCCTTTCGTGTGGTTTGTAGGACATGGTGCAAAATTATGGCCTTCTGCGGTAGGAAATAAAAACTTTTCCTAGATGCCACAGTCAGGTTGTAGGATCTCTACTGAGACAAGCTCTGAGGCGCCGGGCGGAAACAGAGGCTGAGGCAGAGCGTTGTGAGGCTGTGGTGGCGACTCCTTGCAGCTCGACCCCCACTTGGCTCAACCGCATTTGCTGGGTTTCCCTGTTGAAGGTTTCTTGACCAGACCTAGACCCCCGGCAAAGAGGACGACTTGTTGCTGGTTGAATGGGAAAATGACGCTAAGTCCGGCAATGTTTAAATGGGTGTGTCTTTTTTGAGGGTATCCCCTTTTTGGCACTTTTAGAAGGGAACCAGAAGGACACCCACCTTTCGGGGGGGGGTCGCCTAAAAAAGGACACACCCAAAGCAAGCTGAAAAGGGCACCCTCGAAAACACATATGCACAGAAATGAGCAAATGTTGCGGCCCAACTTCACCAACAAATCTGATCTTCAGATTCCGTTTTGTGGTCATAGTGGGATGTGTTATCAATTCTTGCAAATCTTTAAAATTATACTAGTCAAAGGCATGGGTTTGTTTACGTGTTTTGTGTGTATTAAGACCTAAGGCTCAGTAAACCAATAATTGGGAGGCGTCTTTGCGGGGCTTCGGTGTCGGTCGCAACCGCTTCGAAGGGAAACCAAAGCAAAACATAAGACGCTTCCCCCCGTTGAAAGACACGGTGCAAACACGGGCTGCATCACCCCAGCCAAAGCTGTTCGGGTGATGATCACCCGAAGCTAAGCAAATGTGACAGCGCGAAATCCCATGTGTCTCAAGTTAGGAATCCGCTGGTTGGGGTGGTTTAATGCACCCCGTCATCCCAGGAGAAACAGCTCGCCTTACCAAATTGCAACAGTTTGCCTTAACCTCAACCATTTGTGGCAACCCTAATATGACATGTGTCTGATGTTTTGACCACATACCTAGTGAGCCTCAAAAACATTTTTCTGTGGCCATGGGTCAAAATCCAAATCGTACCCCCAGTGAACATTCCAATCCAACCACTAAAATTGGTTCTAAACTGGGTGGTGAATTCCTACCAACCAAAATGGGCTCCCAAAACGGTTTTGACACCCACAGCCATGTAAGTTTCAGAGGCGTTGCCTTCCAACTTGAACCGATTTCCTCCCCCCCGAATTCCTTGGCTCAGCGGCTTCGACACCTGCCGGAATCAGACCGCTGGGGAACCTGGTAGCTTGGATCGGTCCCGGAGACCAAAAGAAAACCGGTCCCATGTTCCATTGGTCCATGCCCAGAATTCAGCCAGAGCCACTGGTCGAAGACAGCACGAAAGATCACAGTAGCTTTCTGGCTACGATCCTCAAATAAGCCCATCGCTTTTGTTGGTTTCCCTTCGGGGACCATTCCCATCAAGCTGCAGAGGGTGAGAATGAAGCTCACGCGAGGCCATCCGCTTGTGACAAACATCTGCTTACGGCAGGGTTCCGTTTGTGGGCCACGTTCAACATTCTGTCCCCAACCGACATGGGATTCTGGTGAACCTCTATTTCCGCAATTTGATGGCGGACGACGGGCAAATATTGGCCGTTGCGGAGACCCCTGCCGACCGTGGAAGCCTTAGTCGGCTGCAAGGTTGGCCTTGTGTCAACCCTGACCCTCGGTGGCTGGTCTTTGGGGGGTTGGTAATTAGGGTCCCTGATTATGTGTCTTTGCTGAAGAAGAAACTCAATTGATGTAAAAACCCGCCAACCAAAACGGGAACTGTGAGGATCCCTCTGTCAACCCGTGATGGGGTTGGTAGTTGAATTGTATAGTGCGCACCATTGCAACCATCACCCCCCCCCCCTTCCCCCAAATCAGTGCCGCAGTTGGCCTTTGGCACAGGGGCAAGATGTCCCTCGCATGTATTGCAATTGAAGAGAGAATCCTTGGCATGGCCCCCGGAACGATTCTTCCTTCCAAAGCTTCCTTCGGATCCCTGGTTCGTGTAGGGTCCCTCCCGCCCGTCCGTAGCTGCTTGCTTTTCTTCCATGGTATTCCTGTTCGGTGGGGGCTCCGCCACCCCCGGAGCGATCTGTTCTTTGGGAGGGATTGGCCTCTGACTCAGGTCACAGGCCTCTGCACTGACTCGCGGCATGGGTTCGCGGGCTGAAGTACAAACTTTTGGCCCAAAAATGATGAAACACCCGGCAACCAAACCATTTCGCCAAGTCTTAGGGGTAACTGTTCTACCACCTCCCCAACATAATGCCCCCAACACAAAAGCAGAAACCTGGCGAGAAGTTGAACAGTTGGAAACTGAACAGGTAAGCTTGCAAAAACACACCATGACAATGAATGAGGCACATTTTGATTACTAACATGTTGCCTCATGATATGATTGCTTAAGTTCCTGTTTACCTCTGCTGTTTTTCCATGGCCCAGCCAAACATAGCGTGATCCATTCTGGTCCCTGTGTGTGAACCTTGGAATCCCTAAAATGTACTAATGGCGACTCCCAGCTATGATTTCGTTGGACAGAATTTTTGACTGTTCTCCCAGATTAGCATTTAGCTCAGTTCTCAGCTCTAGTGACAATGTCAACACAGCTCTCCCAGGTGTGCTGTTCAAAACGGTTCGTGTTGGCCAATCCTAATTCAGAATCTCTAGAGGGAAACCACTGCAAAGGAGACTCCTCGAGCAACCCAAGGGAACTATGAAGGATTGCTTCGGGATACAGTTACAGCAGGGATCCTTACATTATCACCTGAACATTGCCTTGTAAATGGTGGCTTCCCTTTGTTTTGGTGGAAAAAGCAACATGTTTCAAATGGTTGCAAAATGTATATTTTAAGGAGCCCTGTACAGCTTTCCGAGCATTCCGCCCCGAGTGAGCTCACGATTTGGTCAGTGCAGATGGGATTCGGGTCCGGGGCATTCTGCAGAGACTCCCCACAGAAGGCGCCGGTGGCCCCCTTGCGAGCAAGGAGTGGACCGGGAAAATATAGAAAATATGCATGCATAGGGAGGCGGCGAAACATACTAATCAGGGGCAGGAAACCACCTTTTGCAATATGGAATGAATGTTCTATAGGCGAGGTATCCTCTCGGGTATCCGAAGTTGACAGCACCACTTCAACCAGCCCTGGTTGGTAGTCACGACGCCTCCGAATTGCGGCGACTCGCCCGCAGAAAAACTTGGCGAAAGATGCGCAGCGGATTAAGGCGCCGCCGTGCAAACGCGAAGCGGCGACGTCAGCACGTCAGGCAGTGGACATATGCAGTTATTGTTTCTTCAAAGGACTTCAAGTAGGGTTTTGTTTGCCCTCAAAAACTGGTCAAACAAAATATTTTGAGCTGTTTACATCACACAAGTTCTATTGATGATGAATTTGGAAGACCCTATTCATCGGGGGATATCGGGGGAATTTCCTTCAACATGAACTATAATTTCCCACTTTGAGGAGAACTATCCCAATTCCCTGACTAGTAGGCTCCTCCAGATTGATCCGAGGTTGCTATTCGCCACCTAAAACTGCTTCAGGAGGCTTCTGGGCCATACCCTGCCAAAAGACATTCCGTTTGTCCAGTCTGCGTCGCAAAAGGGGACATGGAACCAAGTGGAACTCCAGGGATGACACCCTCCCCCAAGTTCATTTTTCAGGGGCCGGGGATGCAACCTGTTCGGAACCTGCTTCCCGCCACGCGCTTGCCGGAACCGGAACCGGCCGGCTTGCCCGCGGGTTGGTGGAAACAGAACCCGAGACATCCGACCTCGGCAGACAACCTACACGGGCAACATACATGGAATGGCACGGTGGTTCGAAAAAATCCTGCACCAGTTGGTAAGCGGTTTTGTCCCATGTATAAGATCCAGACAACTGGTGCGAAGTGGAATTTGTCCAATCGCGGTCGGGGTTCGTGGTGGCTGAATAGGGCCTTGCAATGCCTGATAAAGTCAATTATTGGACCCGTTTCTGGGAATTCCACGCTTGGGACAGTGGCGATGTTATGACCATCCTCTTCAAGTCGCAAGCAAAGCCAAATACGGACAAACAAATCTAGCAATTCACTGATTCAAGTTTGGTCAAGTCTACGTACAGCATAATATGCACCCTTGTGTCCTTACACATGGGTGCATGCCCAGTCAAACATAGTGTACTCTCAAAGCTCAAAGAACCTCTTAGACTCTTCAATGCCCTCTTGTGCTTGAAGGGGGGCCGTGGACCAGTCACGTCACAAAGCCAGTGACAAATCTGTGTTCCAAAACACCCGCCCCACTAGCAACCTCCTGATCCAAGTAAAAATAAACTTGCGGAAGCCAAATTTTCGGCCACTCCGGTAATACGGGGGAGAACTGGAGAATATGTTCCCCCCTCAATTATCATCCCACTTAAAGGACACTTTCCTGACAGCTGGCTCAATCCCTAGACCATGCCTACCAACCCCGAGACCTATTTGTAGGTCTAGCAATGGTTTGGACAGGCCTCCCCAAATGCTTTCCTTTGGGTGATTTAAATGTCACCTTTTGAGCGGCAACAAATATTGGTCAAACACAGAGACTTTGACATCACCCGAAATCATCCGATTTTCTGAACGAAAAAAACAACAAAACACTTCATGGCTTTAACTTCTTGAGCTTACCCAAAACGGACCTTCGCGATTAGACAACCCCCCCTGTGCAAACTAGCAGCATTGCGGCGCGTCTTTGGCCATCCGCTGTCCCTGCAAGCAGGACCCATGCGTTCTGCGTGGGTGGCCCTTTCAGGCGAGTTTAGACTGAAACTCAAAGGGAAAACAATTTCTTTGAGCGGGGGTCCCCCGTTTTGAAACATACCCAAACGGGTCTCAGCAAAATGGGCTCCTTTCGGATACTACACACATTATCGTTCTTGGTGCAAGCTCCTCAAGTAAAACCGTTTCAGGCCCCTAATGTACCTCAAAAAATAGGGGAGATACAACCCCGTTTTAACTCATGTGAACAAGAGGAGGCCCAGTCCAAAACTACTAGCCAACAACCTGATTGGCTCCCCACCTCCTCTCTTGCAGGAACGAAAATGGGTCTAACATGCTTATTTAGATCAACCTCTTAATCAGTAAAATTGCCAACCCACGAAACGTCCCCCCGGTCCCGTTGCAAGACCATACTCAAGGCCTCTTTGGCCATAAAACCCTGGATTAGAAACCGGATAAATGGGGGATGGTGGTCCTGGGAAAAGTGAATGCTTTTCAAATGAGACACCCTATAGATGAACCGGGGGCTTATTCATCTTGGGTTGGCATTCAAGCCATAAAGAAAATCCAGTTACTCACAGATACAGATGGACATGGTGTGCTGACATTTTCAAGAGGACATGGGAAAACTTGCGAGTCCCCCTGGCTTTTATGGTATTTTTTGTTTTCAAAAGCCGTCGAGGCCCTAGTTGCCGAGCCTAGAAGGCTCCAGCGGCCAGGATGTGATAGCAAAGCCCGCCGCTCAGGATGTGCAGCAAGCCTCGGACCGCCAAGCGAGGCCAAAGCTCAGCTTTGGCGAATTTCCTGTACCTCCATTTGCTTAAAAATTACAAACATGTTTGCAGTAGTGATAGATTCCAATTGAAACCAACAGGGGAAAGAAAACAAAATAAGCAAATGGAAGTGTAGGTTTCTTCGCATGGCAACCTCCATCTCTCCATCCCTTGGTGCATACGCTCAGCTTCCTTGGTGGTTGGGATTGGTGTTGCTGTTTCCTTTTTGTTTAGGGGTGGTTCAAATCCCCCAGTCACCGATTCAAACAACAAAGCAAGGGTTGCCTGAGCCAAGGTGGCAATGGGAACAACAGCTTGCCACAACCCACCCCCCCCCCCCAATTTCGCGCAGGGTCAGGGCTAAATGAGCCTTTTAAGACCAAATCAGCTTGTTTATCCGTCTTGAACACCTTGTTCATCTGCCCCCTAGTTGGGCACCAAATGGCACCAAGTTACGTTTGAGGATCCTGCCTACCCTCATTTTTTCGTCCGGAGGCTTGGTTGTCCCTCATTTCCCCCTCTGGGTTTTAACCAACTTCTAAGGTATGCGATTCAGGAGTCAGCAGATCAATCGTTTGTCTGCTTTCGTCGCCCGCGTCGACTGGAAGGCACAAGTTCAAATCTTGTAGCCCTGGACTAAAATGATGAAGACACCTCCCAACAAAACAATGAAGTTTGCCAACTCACGGGATAAGCCAGGGTAGTCGTTCTGCAAAGTCGCAGCTGATTCCGAAAAACCCCAGCAAGCGATCCCAAGCAAACGACCTTCATCGTGGCTTCCGTCCATTTTACCGATCCGAATCCCGGCTCTCAGAAGGAAAATCACCAGGCGGGCCTCAAATCGGGATCCTTCTTTGTGAGGGTCGCAGTCTCAAGTTGAGCCATGCGTGGCGCTAATTTTTGTACCATTGTCAAAGCCAAAGCGGTTAGTCAAAGGGAAACAACCCCAGTTCCTGACAGGAATCCCCCAGAAACAGTCATCAAAAGCTACTCCTGTTTTGAGAGTGAACCTAGGGGTCCCCTTCAAAAAAACAACAACAAAAGTAACAAAAAGCAAACAACGGCGTGGACGGAGGCCAGTCGCGCTCCACATGGGCCCCGATCCCAGAGTTTGTGTGCCGAGGCGCTGTGACCCCATCCGCCTAGGCGGAAGTGCATGCACAGGGCCCCCAGGACGAAGTACCCGACTCCACACCTCGAATTTGGCGCCGCTTCGCCGAGAGGGTCTCTGTTCATTGCATCCTGGAAAGCTGGATGGGCTTATTAAGCGAAACCAAAAGAAGAACCGCGTCACTCTAAGATGGTTGCACCTAAACAATCCACCAAAAAGGGCTCACTGGGACTATAAAGGGTATATTGTCTGCTTTCCCCTATAGCAGCCACCCATGTCCGGACACTCCAGGGGAGGCCCATTTGCCATCAACTTTCGCGAAACTTTCGCGGACCTTACGCCAAGAATACTGAACATCAGGCTGTGAGGCACTGTGAGGTTGCGTTTAATTGGGCCCGAAAACTTCAAAACTCCGACTAGTTGCTTTCTGCTGGGGGTCGCCTTTGCAGCGACGTATTTGTTTGTGGCAATCCTCAGGCCGCGCTTTCCTCCGACCAATTTTTGTCCGTGTGCATCACTGCCAGCAATTACACATCGTTCATCAGTCCATCTTTATTTTAGCAAGTCACTCTTACACAGTTGACAACTTTAAAGATGAAGTCGCGGAGGGCAACGCTAAGCCAAACATGCTTCCCCTTCAATACATGAATACGAGGACCTTTCGCACGACTCCGATACCTGGATCTTCCAAAATGTGTGAGATCATGCCTTTTCTTGAAAAGCTCCTTTTTCACAAACAACGCCTTTCGCGTCTCCAGGCATTCTTCACATTGTTGCTCTTCTGGGACAAATCCATGAAGGCGAAACGGCGACAATACCCGACCAAACGGCGACTTTCCAAACTTGAAACTTGACACGTTCGCAGTGAAAAAGCGGGAATGTTCGAGCAAAGGGCTGAGATCTGTGCTTCAGCCAATGGTTCAGAAAGATGCACACCTGAAGGTTCACTGAAATATACACCTAGGGGACGGGGGCTCTGATTTCTCTCCGGTTTCCGGGATAAGCTCGGGACAAGCAGGTCGGCCAAGGCGCGCAGTGTTCTGGAAATCTCCTGATCCAGGGAGTTGTTTTCTTTTCCGGCACCAAAACTGGACACCTACCTGATGGAACAACCTTGATTGCCCAAGAAGTTCGTCTAAAGATCCAAGCCGATAGCAATCAAGTTGAGATAAGGGAAATGGGACGATCTGGCAATCCCTGGAGCGCAAGGCACTTTTGGTGAAGCCACGGCCTGTATTCCAATACGGGCGGGGGGGTGTCCAACACTTGGGCGCTTCGGCTTTAAAAATTCACAGCCAAAGCGATCCCATAGCAAGCCACCCACTGGAGAGCTCTGTTTGCTTCAGCTCGCCCTACAACAAGCAACGAGAGCGTTCCCAAAAAAAGAGCCAAGTGGGTGTTGTGTATTTGCCCCTGGCCCGCGCCAAAGGGAAACCACCAGCCCCAAGCTTTCAAGAGTACCAGCTATGCCAGAGTGGTCCTGAGTGAGAGGATTGCCTGTGGGTTGTTGCTGTGTCCATGTTCCTGGCATTTTGCTCACTCTGATAACCCCTGCTTCTTGGTACTGTGTTCTGGAGACGGGACCCCTCTGTTTTCATCGACAGGTGCCCCCCCGCCCCCAAACCTTGGCCCACATCTGGGGTACATAGGAAAGAGTGCCTGGTTCTGTTCCACGCATGTCTACAACTCAAACCATCAAATTAGCTTGGGCTCACTTCCTGAGCGCATTGGCCACAAATCCAAACTTCTCAGTTGCCACTCGAGTTGCCCCAGCCGGCGGGCGCGGCTCAAAATTAACCTGGGGTTACACAGGTGTTCGGGTACCTTTCATTTGGCTAAGACACCTGGAAAATATATACATATTTCCAGTAGTGATACAATTCCTTTTAAAACCAACAAGGAAAAAACAAACATCTATAGCAAATGGAGGCTACTGGTCCATTTCCCAGGGTGCCATTTTGCACCCCATTGAGCCACATCCAGGCCGGCCCCTCAAGCCGCCTCGCAGCAGTGGGGGCACCCAGTAGAGCAGCACCGCCATGCCGATGTTGGCCTCACCACTTCGCCACTTTCAACCCACAATCCCGAACCAGTGGCCTGGGGGAAAAAAAAAGCCGACGAGCACGATATGGGTTCGTGCACAAGTTCCCCCCGACTTCCGACTTGCCTTCGGGGTCTTCGTCTCAACACTCTTTGGAGCGCCCAACATCCGTGAGGACCCTTAGAGATTCCAAAAGATGTAAGGAGTGAAACTCTTGGTTTGCCACTAAAATGGCTTCTGCAAAAGTGAAAAGTCCATGATCTCAGGGAGTGAGTGTCCGTAGAAACGTTTTGGCAGTGGCTTGGCCCAAGAAAGTACCCCAAGCTTTGAGTTTGCCACTCGCATGGTCCAAACCCAAAATTCTGCCACATCCCAGGAACTCGGGGAGTGAGGCAGGGCTTCCTTTGCAGACTTCCGAACGCAATCTGCTTTGCTTTGGAAACTCTGGTGCAGGTGACCTTGTACCAACTATTGGTAACGGCCGTCCACCATGCTTAGCCGCCCGTGTGTTGGGGGTTCACAAGCCTTTGCACGGTGCCAGGCAAGAGAACAGAATGCTCTAAATCAGCTAAAGAAAATGTGTCCACTTCTTGGGTCTTTGGAGCGTGCTTGGCCAGCCTGAAGTCCTCTTAGTCTTAGTGGGCTTACCCAGAAAAAGGAAACACCCCCCACGGCCAAGAAGACTTAAAAAAAAAAAAAAAAAAAAAAAAAAAAAAACTGAAAAACCAGCAAGTCCAGAGACCAATTCGACTTCAACGACCCTCCAAATTCCAAGGGTTAAGCCATAGGGCCAGAGACTGAAAAAAAAACAACGAAGAAAAACCCGTACGTCCAGAGACTTGAGACCCCGATCCCAGTTCCAAGGGCCCCCTGGCCAAACGGTTCGGTGCGTGCCGAAACTTGCAGTGGTCTGGGGGCTTGGGAGCATCACAGGATCCCGGACTCAAACTTGACCAGACTTGTTATAGAACTGTTTGCAAAGACTTGAAGTGTTTGCAGGTTGAAAGGAAGCATGAAACCCGAAGACTTGGCAAGACGTCAAGTCCCCAACGTGAAAGTTCCGTTTGGCTGCTCTGTGGGTCCCAGTCGCTTGTCCCATTCAACCAAAACAATCATGGCTTGAAGGTTCGGTCAAGCCGGGGATCTGTCTTGAAAAGATCCCCCAATGTCCAGATTCGGTGAGTTTGGCTTCTCACCCTACAACAGGAACAACCACCCAGATGTTGGGCGGCTTCTCAAAATGGCTTCCCAAAAGGCGGCGGTCATCAACGAACTTTGACGGTCATCAACTGCACCTCCCGAGGAAACAAATGGAATCCCCGAAGGCACCTTCTCGTTCTCACAGATTGATTCGTGTTCGCAAAATCGAAGAGCTCCAGAGACCCAATCGAACAGCTCCAACTCAGGGACCCGTGGATTTCCGGCTGATGACTTGAACGATAAAACCTCCATGCAGGGAAACCGGACAAAATCACACTGGAGGAGGTGGGACCCAGGGTCTGGGTCCATTTCAGTGACATCCGCAAGATCCTCCTGTGACTTGCAGCTGAAAGGAACACAACCCCAAACAATCCTTTGCAGAACCTCTCAAAGTGATCAGTGTAAGAGTGGTCACTGGATGTCCTATAAACAAACATTGAAACTTTCTGGCGGCTTCCATTGAACTGAGACTTTTTGATGCAAGAAAGGGAAGTTGAAAATTTCTATAGCCGCGCACTGCTGGGGTCGAAATCCCCCTTCCCCCCGACTCCATGCTTAAGGGGGTTGGGATGCAAGCGAAGGCAGAGTTGACCCATCCAAACACCTCGGGAGTCCGAGTCGCCATTCGCTCGGTGACTCCTGCATCTCGGAATGCCCAAAGCCGGCTGATGAAGTACCTGGCAGGAACCGGATGGAAGATGTCCGACCCTCCAAAGAGTCCGGTTAGGCAGAGTCTCTTTCTAGGGGAACCCAACTGTAACATGGGTTTCCTTTAGCTTTCCCTATGAACCCAAAACCATGGGGGACCCTCAAAAAGACACCCTTTCAAGTTTCTACACTCTTAGGGAGTCCTTTCTTTCCCTTTGAAGATCCGGTCGAGGTTCGCCAATAGAGGGAAAAAAACGTGTTGTGTCACACTTATCCCGCCGTCAGAGCTTACAGGCTTTAAGCGGGGAAGGGAAAGGCGGTCACCTCTCGAAATATGACTGGAAATAGGTGGAACTGCTCTGTGAACATCTGAGATCCTTTTTTGCCTGCCCCCCACCGCTCCTGAAAGCTGGGAAGACAAGGCGTGCTGCATCCCGACCTTTGCAACCCTACCAGTGTGTACCACGTGCTGCATCCCGACTTTTGCAACCCTACCGCGGTTGGGTTCCTATTGAAACATGATGCATTTTGAATACTGAAGGGGAACCAACTGGAAACCATGATGCCTTATTCCTATTCGTGCTGACTTGGACTTTGATTCCAAAGGACGAGCCTACGCTACTTGGGGGCTAGAAAGTGTCAGTTTCCGAAAAACAAATACTGGTTCTATATGGCCAAATACGGGCAACTAAGGCAAATGACCGAACAAAAAAAAAGGAGAAAACAAACACAAAAAAAAACACTTACGGGTATAAACCGGCCAAATATGCCTTTTGATCGAAACAAATTGCGTTTCGGGGCTCCAGGAAGCATGATATGTCCCCAAATGAGCAACTTTTGATACTAATCTTTCGGGTATATATACCCTTTGTGCGGAAATGTAAACGGACACCCAAAGGGTTCTAACAGCTTGAGGGAGAGGTTCTAACAGCTTTGCTTGAACAGAGCTCCTCAAATGATACATCCAACAACCTGCTTTGCAATGATTCGGATCCTCGGAATCTGGTGTTTGGGGGAAAATTATGAGGGATGCAGCTGGAATCAAGGAACCTTCCCCCTTGGCACGTGGGTAAAACCAACTTGCTTCTTGAAGCCACCCACTAACGGCGAACGGAACCAACCAAAGTAACCACCCAAAACACATGCTGAAATATGCAGTGAAGAGTTAGTTGACCCAGGTTGAAACAGATCCGGTCCAGAATCTACCATCCTCAACCCAGTTGGAACCCAGGGACATATTCAAGAGGATGCACAGGGAGCAGTAGACCTCGCTGGTGCTCAAGGCAGCAGCACTCGCCATGCCTCGAGTCGGATACGAGCCGCGATATGGATGCTGCAAGCCGAGCTCCAAAAACAAAAAACACGGCGGCGGGAAGAACACCTCCACAACAGGGTTCCATGCATTGACTAGGGGTATAAATAAACCCGTTGTGCAGTGGATAGCGAGAAACAGAAACACCCAGAATGGTAACCAAAAGGCATTTATATATTGTGTACTTCTGCTCTCGGAATCTAAGGGCAAACAGCTAGGTATCCATCGTAGGCGCTGGTATATGATTCACCGCGTAGGCGCTGGTATATGATTCACCGCACAAAACCAGCGCCCGCATTCGAAACAAACAAAAAGCGCCATCTGCATCCATAAGTGATCAACAACACCCAATGGTTGTGGCTTGCCGAGATGCGATGCGGGGAGGGTTGTTGTTCACGTCCCTCTTCATCCCTGGCCCAGAAATCGCCGAGAAGACTCGGTGATCTTCAGAACCAACGCGCTCCTTCGAGACTACCCCCCCTTCGAAAGCCACCCGCTGGAGGATACATGGCCCGGGCATCCCCCGATTTCGCCAGGCCACAGGTCACGTGGATGAAGGTCTGATCCAAACGCCTGGCCTCAGCGTCGCTGGCCCTCACTACAAGCCATAAATGATTTGAAGAAAACCCAAAGGCGGCCTTCCCCCCAAAAAAAACCTTTTTGTGCAACCTACTTAATCACTTGGAAAGTCCAACTTTCTAACAAAACTTCCGGGCGCTCTGGCCTTTCTGGGTACGATGGGAGAACAAAAACTGGGCGGGTTGCAGCGCTAGGCTTAGGTGCTCCAGGCCCAAAGGCCGGCTGGCCGATTGGGAGGATCAATCGAGGACATGTTGAGCCAAGGAAATCTGTACCGTTGCAGTGCTCGGCAAATCCATTTGCAAGCATGACCCTACATCGGGGCTACATCAGGGCAAGTTTGTGGGTGGGGACAGTGCATGCTAAGAGACCCAATCGAGCCACTTTTGGGGGTTTGCGCTGGTTGGCAGGAGTCCGCAGGCACTTCGCGGGCTTGTTTTGCGCTCGTTTTGCGGCCATGAAGGGTAGAAAAACATGTCTTATCCGAAACATATTTATGTTTAGACCAAAGTTGCCCTGATTTGCACGCCACTCCTGCACACAGCAAGGATTGGAGGGTTTGATAGATTGAAGGGCGTGAAGGGTTTCCGATGCAACAAAAGATTTGAACATCTGGTTTTGCGAGAGAAAGGCCTGCGCAACAAGGAACACGAACGATTCCAATTTCTGGGCGCTTTAGTCGCTTTGCTGCAGGAGTGGACGAAACAGGCAAAGGTAACACAATGATCAACACACCCGTTTTTTCCTAGTCGTTTGAGGCTGCAGGTACAGTTCTGATCGAAAGAGAGTTAAGACCCTTTTTGGGACGTGAGGAGAGAAGTGTCCAAATTCTCTGACCTGGAACTGTGCAACTGAACAATTTACCTCAAACCTTATCAAGCAGGGATACAGTTCTTTGTCCATTGCAGCCCCTGCACCTTGGTGCCTCTTAGAACGGCAATTTGTATGGCGAAATGAGGCCTAAAGCTTCGCCAGGCTGCAGGGAAGTAACCACAGCACCCCGAAGTTGCAAGCGAGAGGCCGTGTTGTTGCTGGAGTGCTGCAGCTTTCGCTGGGCCAGCAGCAAGTGGAAAGCCATGCCTCACAACTCAACTGGCTGTGGTTGTCAAAACCGTTTTGGGATCCCATTTTGGCGTAGGTGAATTCACCACCACCCATGGCCAACTCTACGTCCTACATCCAGAGTCATGATCATCAAACCATTATCCGCGTTCTTTGGCCCCTGTTTTTCAGTTCAATCCGGCGGGGCTTTTTGTCACGGGCCCCTTACCTGCTTGTTGCGGCCTGAAACCTGCCGATCCCAGCAACGCTGACCCCGAAACCCAGACCAAACCCACAACGGCAAAACAGGAAAATGACCCTATCCTAAACCGCACCAACTGGACACCACCACAATCAACCCTTCCCTAAACTTGCTAGAAAACCTCCACAACACCACCAAATCCGAAAAGGAATCCGCACTGAACCCAAAACCCCAACATCTATCCTAAACCCAGCCGGAACCCAGCCTGAAGCCATCCAAAACCAATCAGGACCCAACCCAAACCAACTCTGGAAGCATCCGTAGACCAACCCCGAAAGACGACTGAAAAGCTACAAGTCTTAACAAGTCACTTGCCCAGAGAGATGTGACAGCTTCATCGACGGTTTGCCTTCAGCCATTAGAAAGAATCATAGGCGCTTCAAAAGAAGTCCAAGGGGCCTGACTGGAAGGGGTGCCCTGTTCTTAACGCCGCCCAAGACGCGACGACATCAAGCCACACAATCTCGCTATCAAAAGGCTAACCTTATGAAGCCTCAACTAAACTTGAGGTGATCTCAACATACGGTCCCAAAATCCCAAATGAGTTGGTTTCCTTGCAATTCCCTTTAACCCAATCCGAGTACCTTCAAACGAGGTCAGATCCAGTGAGACACGCGGTCGCACTCCATTGCCAAGCGGCTGAAGGGCAAGTGCAGCAGGACTGCAGCAGCGATGATGCCTATGCAGCATTGTGCATTAATCGTGAGGGGGCTTGGTCTACATGAGTCCATTCAGGACGGAATGCCAAAGAGCCACAGTTGCGACTGGACCTTCCCATCTGGGCATCTGCAACCAAATGCTTGATGTGATCCTGTTGGCATTGTCCCATGGTGGAAACTTCTCACATCCATCACGCTCTTGGTTCTAAGTTAAAAGGACCCCTTGCAGTGGTTGGTTACAAGCATGAAACACTGGATAAATACGGCTCCATGTGGAATGGTAGAAATCTGGTCCCTGAAAGGAGCCGTCACAGGAAAGCGTTGCCAATTCTCTGCCCTTGCGATTTGGTTTAAACATTAAGATGCTCGGAGCAAACCCAATGACAAACAGACTGTGAGCCCAATCCCCATTGCCTTGAGGTTGTTCACCTGAAACAAGCCTCAAGGTGCCTTTTTGGGCTTGTTGGGGATCCATTGGGAGGTGCCTTGGTCGAGTTGTTTTTTTGCGAAAGGTGAATAACTCAAGTTGCCGGCTGGGCGATGGGAAACTCACAACCTTCTCCTATCAAGATAGCCATGCATATTGGATAGCCATGCATATTGAGGCACTAGATGAAGTCGCGCTTGGTTTTGCTCGCGTCCAAAACTCCGTCGTAAAGACTTGTTGGTTCTCATTCCCTGCTGAGGGAAAGACCCTGATTTAACCCATCCCCTATGGTGGCCAAGGGAATGCGAATCCCCAGGTTCATTCCCAACACCCGAAAGGTCATTCTCTACCTACCGCACCAGCAAGAATCCGTAACAGAGCCCGATGGCTTCAATTTTCCTGGTGACTCTTCGATATCAGGTCTTGATGGGGACCCGAACCGCTTCTCTCAGCAAAATCCTACGCCCGGTTTTGGGGTCGTACTTGATTCATGGGCATGAATTTGAAACAAAAACGACCCAACATGGATATCATGTTAAGGTGAGTTGCAATTAACACCGGTATCAAAAAGGTCGACCCATGCAAAGAATTACAACGGCGGCCGCACCTAATTATGGGTGGGTCCCGAAATAACATTCACTTACACAGGCTTTGATTCTGACTCAGTTGTTTCATGTGCACCGGCCAATTTTTGAGGTTCCCTGTTGAATTTCATATAGGGATACCAAACATGCCAGAGTGAAACATGGATCCATTTCTGAGATAGAAAGTCAGACTCTCATCCATCTGACCACTACGTCTCACTTGGAATTCGGGATAAAAACACGCAGAAAGTGGTACCCAACAACTAGCAACCTTCCCAATAAAAGGACATGTTTTGTGGGGGAACCCCTAAGCCGCCATATTCCATGATGCAACTGTCATAGTCCCTGATTCTTCAAGGAGGTGTTTGGCAGTTGGGTACTGGGTGCTGAAAATTGGGGGTCCTGGAAAACCAACAATCTGCCCTTGGGCGTTTGGGTGCCCCCGTTAACTGGGTGCTGAAATTAGGGTCCTGGAACACCAACAACATGTCTGCCCCTTTTGGCATCCTCTCCAGAGCATCAACGAATAATTCGCTACTTAGCCACTAGTTTTGCGGAGAGGCCTTTAGGCTACGACCAAAGGGACGAAAGGGGGATATGAGCCAGTGACAGTAGAACTTGCAGCTGGTCCAGCCGGGTGGGACCCCCTATGTGTTGCGCACTTCCTGAGTTGACGGGCTAAGCAAGTCCAACCCTGCTCGTTCACCACGTCTTCTTCCCCCAAAAAACCAAAAAAACAAGAACAACAAAGAACAACAAAGAACAACAAGGTCCATGACCACAGGGAGCCAGTTGGTCGCATGTCGTCCTCTCAACCGAGCGGCTCATACGCCAAGTCCACCACAAGCCAGAAGATGGCCACAGGCAGAGGTAGAGGCAAAGAGCTCCAGGCACGACCATGCCTCGGATCGATCCCCAATGCCACTCGGACCCCCCAAAATGGCGGCGGTCTTCGATATTGATTTTTCTGATGGCTTCCCTTTGGAACCACGAAAAGAACGGGTATAGCGCTACATGTTGGGTGGATTTTTACGGGAAAACCAAACGGACAACCGGTGACCGCCTTTTTGTGGTGGCTCCGATTCCTTTCAAATGAAGACGAGCCACCCTTTTGGAAGGGAATTGCTAGCCCGCGACAATGGGAAGCAACACACTTGTACCATTGGATGTCTCCCTCAAAAATGGGCACTTCCGAAAGAGCGGGTTGTCCAGACACAGTTTATAAACGTTTTTTGTTTGCAACTCATACAGCAACCAAACCCAAACAGTATGAAGTCGTAACTCAGGAAGTGAGGAAGTCAGTAAAACCTAGATGGCCTCAGGCTGCCCTTGTCAAACTCATGGCTAGAAGAGGGGTGCGCGTCACTAGCTTCAATCCAGATTCCCGACCAATCAAGCTTGAAGCCTGGAATCCCCCCGCAAAGATGCATGTAGCTGAAACAAAAACAGCGGACTGCTAGGGGAAATATCCGACGCCCGTTCCTGTAAAAGGAGACGAAACCCCCTCCTTCGGTAAAGAAAGTGGAGGTCTGAAGCTAAGACATCAGAATGCCAAGACCTTTCAGTGGGAAGAACCGCTGACCTCCGATTCCCATAAGTGACAATTTCGCCTCAAACGCGTCACCCCCGTCTTGGGCAAACCAACAATGTCACCAGAATACGTTCCAAACGAACAGAACCAAAGAATCCAAAGCCCAACAACGCATTAACAAAACCGAAGAACAAACACATGCACGAGAAAAGTGCCAAACAAAGCAAGCAAACAAACACGCAAGCAGACACACCAAACAAACAACACGCAGCTAAGGACAGTGAGCGCTGCCCACTCCAAGAATAAAACGGGCCCAAGGGGCTGAGGGCATTGCAGTACTCCTGCGCTCGGTGGCTGACGCTCCCTTTCTGTAAGGGAAACCGTTAAAGAGGGAACCATCTGCTTGGGTGAACTCCTTCCAAACAAGATGTCTGTTAACGCAACCGGTTGCTTGAATGCAAGGAAACTCTTCTCTGCGATGTCATGTTTGCTTGATCACTGTAATGAGTAGTGAGGATTCCAAGCAATACATCCCCCAGGTGCGCTCGGTATAATCTCTACTTTTGATTAATAAAACCTCCCACAATAAAATATTTTTCGGATTTCCCAAATCGTTGCCAATACTAAAATACAAGCAGCCAAGACTTACCATAAGATGTGGGTCTCAACCATGCCTGCCCCAGTACCACAAAACCCCCCACAATAAAAGAAAACAAAAAATATTCCAACACCTTTGCCTTACTAAACTACAGACAGACAATACTAAACCTACTTGAATCTCACCAGGTCAGACTGCAAACTGCGCTTGCTGACATGCCTGCAGATCCACCACCCCACCTACATTAATAAACACCCCCTACAGTCAAAGAAACAACTTTCTGAATGCCATCATGTGTACCTTACCAAACTACAAACAGGCAATACTAAACCTACTTGTCAACCTGCAAAGTGCCCTTGCTGACACGCCTGCAGCTCAACCACCCCACCTACATTAATAAACACCCCTACAATTAAAGAAGCAACTTTCTGAATGCCATCATGTGTACCTTACCAAACTACAAACAAGCAAGACTACACCCTGCAAACTAACATGAAGCCTGACACTTGACAAGTGCCGTCTCTGCAGCCAGTCTACAAGACCGTCAGTTCTTTTTTCAACCGCCACTGAAATCGCAGTACTTCGGTAGGATCTACAGAGCTGCATGCGTGCACTCAAGTGCACTGTGCGCCAGGTCACCACTCGCGCACACACGCCTGCAGGCATCACGCTGCACTGCCCCCGCAACCCGCGCCATGGAGAGCCTCCAGCCTTTGAGCACTCTTTTTGTTGATCGATCTGTTTTCTTCCACCTGACAGAGATAACAACAACGCCTGCGCTCCAAAGCACATGCTTTCAAATGCAGCACTCTTCATGTCTCACTCTGCATGCGTGCAAGTGCTCACAAATGCGCAAGCAAACAAAAGACACTTACAAGAATGGCAGCACCCCTCTAGAGTAGAAGGACCGCCTACCATAGTTGCAACCGGACATACAAATCCTTCACCCTAACCACCAACTAGGACATGCTCAAGCTGCAAATTCCAATGGTTTGCAAGCCGTTTTAGGCATCCTGGCATGGTGATCTGCTCAGCACACCCTTTGGCCTGGGGCACCCCCCTAGAATAGTCAGCCACCTACAAAAATTCCAGCCGGATCTACCAATATACAAACTCCTCAACCTACCCAGCGCAGCGCTCCAGGCATCGCGCATTGCTCTGCAGAAGGCTTCGCTGCAGAGCAAGCTCCAGGCCTCTGCAGCATTTTCTCCACCCTTACTGCAGCGACTGCAGAACCCGCCTTGAAGCATCTCCAATCAGCCCTTCAGTCACATCCTGCCTCAGCTCCATTGCGCGGCCGGCCACCTCCAAAGACTCCATAGACCTTGTCAAGCACTCCAAGTACTGCAGCCTCTGCTTGGCAGCTTCCTCCATTTTCTCCTTCACGCTCTTTCTTGACCTGCAGCCCCACTCCAAGTGCTCCACAGGCTGCGCCACAGAAGGCTGCAACAAGAGCGACATGGGCACAGAGATTTCTACAGCCACTACACTTCAGAACTGCAAAAGATAGCTGCATGGCCAGACCCTTCAGACAGCCAAGCCCTGCATGCAAACTACAATATCTCAAGGGAACTCTTCAAATCCACACCTCAAAGGGTGGCCAAACCTCCAAAGCCTCGCCTACCTGCACGCCTTGCTGCTGGAGCTAGCCTGCTTGCTGCAGCCCGGCTCCCACCCAGCTGGCCTCCACATCTTCAGCTCCATCGTCTTTAGCCATGGCTACAGCAGTTGGCCCTGCAGCACCTCTGCTTTTGTTCTACAGATCGCTCCACTGCTCCACTAACTATGATTTTTCCTCCATGTCTGCATCCACTGCACTGCTTGCTCCAACGCTTGCTGCATTGCTTGCTGGCGCTCGAGTTCACCCTTCAAGCAAGCCACCTACATTAGCAAGCAAGCCGACAATTGAAGAAACATCACAAATCTGTGGCTGAAACTGCACCCCTAGAATGATGATGATGATGATGATGATGATGATGATGATGATGATGATGTAGCGCGACGAAGGTGGCTCGCATGGTTCCTACCCGAGTTGCAAATAGACCGCATGAGCACGGCGCGCCGGATCGATCCCGGAAAGTTACCCGGACATGAACTGGGTTACCTAGGTGGGGAGGGGACACCCTATCCAAAAAATATTGCAGATCCCAACAGTGTTCGTGTATTAGAGGGAATGCCCCATTCTTATTAGTAGGGGGGGGAGCCACTTATTAGGGGGGGAGCCACCCCAACGGAACCGGGGTTATTAGTAGCCCTTGCGCCTTACAGGGGAACCGGGACCCGGCGAAGGTGAAAGGATTTAGGTTGCCCGGAGCCCGGGGACATACCCCAAAGTGGGCTCCACCGGGGGATCGACTCGGAAAAAGCCCGCCTCACTCATCCGCATCCTTTTCCTTTCTTTCCCTTCTTACCTTTTCCCTTTTCCTGCTTCTTTGCCCTTTCCTGCTTCCTTCCCCTTGCCGCGCCCTTTTGCCCGTGTTTGGGCCCACGGTCTACCTCCCGCGAAACGACCGACCACCGTGTCGCATTCTGGTTGTTACCCAACTCGTGGCCTGCGCCACGTTCATTACGTTTACACGAGCCGCTTCGCTCTTTTCCACAGGGCTGTGGGAAATGACCACTTCTGTGATACAACGAAAAGGTCCCCCAAAGACTACCCCGCCATTTAAAGAGGGGATTCCCTTGTATCACAGAAGTGGGGATAAACCCCTTGATCCCACAACCCTGCTTTTCCATGTCTTCCGGTTCCGCGCTAATGCTGGCCGGATATGTCGCAGCTCTTGCGCGTTGGCTCCCGCGCTTTGAGCAGCCTGTAGCTGCCGTACCCAGGCGGTGACCCGCCCCCTCAGGTGTTTTAGGTGTTGGGGCCGAAAGGGCAGTGGTCAATGGATGACGATTCCGCCCTTCCGTGTGATGAGGTGCGTAGTTACGCGTTGGCCGTCGTAGCGACCGCCCGCTTTGCATCGGAAGAGCTCCAGCTCGAAAGCTGGGGTGGATTAGCCCAGCGTGGTCCTTTAAACGTATCGTACTAAGGCTGTGGTAGCGTTCAATGCCCGGTAACGTGGCTGTGATAAGCCGCGTGTCGTATCAAATTCATGCGATCCGGAGTGTCGTGGTGCGTGTTTGAAATGGCAGGTGACCTGAGAAAAGAAGCCCTCCTCTTATTCGCATGTTCCCAAGGAAACGATGTCGAAACGTGCATCCGACAGCCCTAAAAAAAAACTATCCACGGTGGCTGGTTTGCCGCTGCTCGGCCGCGTGGAGGCCAGCGTCACCCAGAAGAGCAGCTCACCCCTAGAATAATGGAACACCCTGCAATAATTTATCCTGCCTGCAGCTCACCCACCCCACCTACACTAATAACCCCCCCCCACAATTAAAGAAACATATTTCTATCATGCCAACATGTTCCACTTACTAAACTACAGACAGGAAATACTAAACCGAATTGAAATTCGCCAGGTGGCCTTGCAGAGTGCCCTTGTTCACCTGCCTGCAGCTTAGCCATTCCACCAACATTAAAAAAACACCCCCCACAATTAAAGAAACAAATTTCTGACAGCAAACATGTTCCCTTTACTAAGCTACAGACAGGAAATACTAAACTAAACCAAATTGAAATGCACCAGGTAAGCTTGCAGAGTGCCCTTGTTCACCTGCCTGCAGCTTAACCATTCCACCCACATTAATAAACCACCAGGTAAGCTTGCAAAGTGCCCTTGCTGACCTGCATGCAGCTCATCCACCCCACCTACATTTATAAACACCCCCCACAATTAAAGACACATATTTCTAACATGCACACATGTTCCCCTTACTAAACTACAGACATGAAATACTAAACCTAATTGAAACTCACCAGGTAAGCTTGCAAAGTGCCCTTGTTGACCTGCCTGCAGCTCATCCCCCCCACCTACATTAATAAACACCCCTCCACAATTAAAGAAAGCCGGTCCCAGCCCAGAAAACTCAAAAAGCAGAAGCCCTAGTACTAAAACAATTTGAAATCCAAACCCAGCATTTTATTCGGGGGGGGGGGCCAGGGGGGGGGGCTGGGGGGGGGGGGGGGGACCCCTTACTAATCAAAAGCAAAGATTATCTTGAAACTTGACCTGACTCATCAAGAGTCATCGATCCAACCCGTGAATAAACACAATGAAATGACCACCTAACAAGAACTCACTTGCTCAACGGGCCTGGAAATGAAAGCGTTCCGCTTCTTTTTGTTTAAACAACTAAACATATACCGAGGACTTTTATATATTGTCCGTTGTCAGCATTTAAGTGGGCTTGTCTTAGAACTGGGCGGCCCGCAACATGGTGGTGTTCCTTTTGGCTTCCCTTTATCAATTTCACACAGGGGCGCCCTCAAAAAGAAACACACCCAAGTAGATTAGGAAAGGACAAAGATGCAAGACATTTCCATGTAAAATCTAAAAACATATCCAAGTCGATTCGCTTTGAGAGGATCATGGAATTCAACGCAACACGCCAAGCCCTTCTTGTCGACGCGAACAAACCGAGACCACAATGCTCCCAACGGCGATCTTACATGCCTGGGTCCCTGGGGAGATTTGATTGACAAACCATAAAACGGCAAGCGAGCGACGGGGTGAATGGCATTGCCGCCGAGCCATGTCAGGGTCCCAGTTTCTTGAATCCACAGCTGTAAAACCACTGTTCGGTTCTCTTCATGCCGGTTAAATGGGGTGATGTTGTTGGGGGATGGTTGAAGGGTTCTGAATTATTCATCCAATGGATAACATTCCCTGATATCACCAAATGAACCCTTCAACCTGCTTCCAACAACCCTGTGCAGAATTTATACGGACCTGTCATAATGATAACTCATCCCTGGACATTTAGGACAGTGAGTCAAAACGCAATCCTGCCAAGTGGAGGAACAAGCCCAAAATACCTATGTATTCAACGGGTAGCCCAGTTTCCCAGCAACCCTGACACAAAACGAGGGCCCGTTTAGGGGACAGCTGCAGCCTGCAAAAAAACAAAGAACAAAAAGCTAAGTCATGAGTAAAAGAGGGCACGCACCCAAGCAACCCCGAAGGAAAGACGCCCCCCCCCCCGCCCCTAGGCCTTCCACAGGCCTCCCAAAGGTCTTAACCGGGCGGATTTGTCCCTGGTTCGGTTGCCCGGCATTGGAAAATCGACCCATCCGGTACTCCCCAAAGCATTTTTGTCCAGTCCTGGAAGGGTGTCATGCCATCTAAGGCCCGGCAATTATAGAGAGCCTTCTTGAGGTCCCCGCTGATGTTGTTCCAGATCTGCCCGGATCAAGTCACGGAGGGCTATGAGCTGGGGGGAGGCGGTCACCCTTTACACCCTTGATTGAGGCTGCGTTTGTATCAGGCAAAGGTATGGGGGTGTGCGGGCTTCCCTAATATATAGCCTTCATAAGCCCATGAAGGGGCTGCTTGACCTATCTAGGGATAGCCTCCCATACTACCCCTTTTGGAGGTCCATGATCAATGAACACAAGTTCTACTAGCACACGCACACACAATCACTGCTTCCCATGTCCGGCCAAAACCCCAAGTACTGCCTTACCAAAAAGCGATCGCTGGATGGCGCTGGAGTGATATCATCAGCAACCTTATGTGTGTGTGTGTTGTTATCACCAGTGGAATTACTATCATCGTTAGTCGGTACTGTATCATAATTCAGCTTTGCAATCAATTTGCGGTATCGTCATTCGTGCAATCATTATATAGGACAGAGAAGCCTCAACTCAATGCAAGCAAAACGTGGGGGTTGATAAAAAGGCTTACATGGGATGACTGGGGGGAACCACAAAAATCATGATGTTTCTCACATGAGACAAGTTACCCTCCGGTCATTTGGCGGCCGAACGGAATATTGATCAATCCCCACGTACATGTTCCCTGGCCCCACCCTTAATGAAGCCCAACAAGAAGTCCTTCACTTCTCCAGGCCGCCGCGCACGAAGTCGTCAGCCACTTTTCTCCTCAATCCATCCGTGAGGCGTAGCCTATTTGCTTTAGCTCGAGCCCACCCTTCGTGTGAGCATCAAGATTCAAGGACATGGCATGTTCTTCACATGCCCAAAAAGGGGGAAAAGAATTTCCCATGGTCTTCACCCGATGCAGTCTCTGCATCGGGTCTTTTCTTGCACTTGCCTCTCACTGATGTGATGACAACCGCGTCGATGGTAGCACTTGCCGTAGTGGGTCACGACCACGGAAGAGGGCGCCGCGTTCTTCCAGTACTGGAGCTCAAACGATTGCTCCTGGTGCTTCTGCCACAGAGCCGAATACTCCGGCCGCTTGTCAATCTCGGTTTGCGTTGCCACCTCCAGCTTCCGCGTGTTCTTCACCTTCTCCTGCTTCCCAATGATCCACACCTCCGTCACTTTCACAACGCCGTAGATCACCGCCAGGATGACGATGAAGACTCCGACAACAAAGATCACGTCGATCACCTCGTCGCCGCTGTTCTTGTAACCCTCGACCTTCCGGATGTAGTCATTCGCCACCATGGCCACCAACGAACTTGCCACCGCGCTGCCACCACTCGCGACTGTCCTTTGCGCCTTCCGCTCCTGATTAGTCTTCTTCTTCGCTGCCGTGAAGTTGCCGTCGTTGATCAACTGCATGTAGCCTCCACGTAGATCGTCAGCCAATGACTGCCGCGCCGCCAGCTTCGTCATTCCGTCAGCCAACTGCCTCTTGGAACTGACCCACCTCAGTCTGCTTCGGTCCAGGTCAACGCGTCCTTGATGCAGAGGATCTCGATTGCTGCCCTCTTGTCGCCGGCGTTCTGGATGGTCTCCCGCTGCGTCGCATCATACAGAGTTCGAGCGTCCACCACCATTGCACTTTCGCCAGCTGCTTGCACCGTCTCACTCTTTCGCAAGTCCTGGTCCGGGTTCAGCATGAGGGAGTAGAAAAGCTTAGTCAGCGTGAGCTCGTCCAAGGCTGTCGAACACGCTTGGCTTTCTGCAGACAACGAACTCCTGCACACCCTCTGCAACCGGAACGATCTCCAGCTCAGCAGTGTGTACCTTTCGCATTCGCCATGCAGCATCTTCTTGTTACAGGCCATGATGATATAGCCGCCCTGCGACGCCATGTCTCGTCGCACTCCAAATGCTGCATCACTGAAGGCAACAAACCCCAGCTCCTTGATGTCGTCCATCATCTTCGGGAACTTGTGCACCACATCCGAGTTGCTCTTGCCAAAGCGCAATGCCTTGTTCAGCTCGTTCAGCACGCGGCGCTCCTTCGCGGCGATGTCGCCTGCAAGGATACTTGTTGAAGCACATAGATGTGGCGCTGCTTGTCCTGCTGGCCATTGAAGAGCACCCAACAGTGCTCGACTCTTGGAGACCTCCTTGTCGGTTAGGTTGCCGGTGTCCTTGTTGTTCACCGTGATGGGCATGACTTTCCTGAGGTAGTCCGCAAAGCTCACGTCGATCTCGCCGTTCTGGATGCTGATCGTGCCACCACAGTACACAATTGGCTCTTTCTCCTGCAGCTGTTTCCACTTGCCGAAGTCAAAGCTTGCTCTCACCTTTCTCACAAGCTCCACCACTTCCTTGTCTCTCATGTCCGCGCCGAGCAGAATGTCGTCCACATGGACAATCAGAATCGCCTTCATCTCGCCAGACGTCTGCTTGTAATAGATGAAGAGACACTTGTCGATCCTGTGCTGGATGAAATTCAGCGACTGCAGTCTCGACGTTGCCTCCTTGTACCACAACAGTGGTGCATCTGCCAGGCCGTACGCGCTCTTCAGCAGTCTCATGTATGCCGGGCCAACCACTCCAAGTAGTGGTCCGCAATCACTCGGCAGCTTGACAATGATCTTCCGGTCGAACTGCGATCCAGACAGGAAAGCTGCTCGTACGTCACCAACGTATAGATTCCAGTGGTTGTTCTGGACAATCAGGAGGAGGAAGTTCTTGCCCAGCCTTCCGGCTGTTGGTGATGCCTTATCAAGGTAGAGCAGGTCTGGATCCTCAAAGCCACGCAGCACCAGACGTGCTTTGGCTCGGGGTCCACCTCCTTCAGTTTCCTTCCAGGTCAGTACCCATCGCGCAGAGACGATCCGCGACTCATCTCCGGGGTTCACCTCCGCAAAGTTCCACACCTGGTTCCGAAAATAGTTCTCCAGCTCTGCCTTCTTCGCCTCCATCATCTGGGCTCGCTGGTCAGCCGTCATGTTCTTCTCGGACGCCTCATTCTTCCGAAGGTTCTTCACCCAGCCATGCCTCGTCCAGCTCGAACTCACCGTCCACGATTACCCAACCGGCAGGTAGATCTGGTTCAGCTCCATCCACAAACGTCACATCCTCCACCATGAGATCATCGTCATCCTGCATGGGCACTGGGACATCAACAGGAGCATCCGATGCCTGGGCAGTCTTCTGCCGCTTGCTGGTCCACGCCGAGGATGCCTGCGATGATGGCGGCAAGCGATCATACTCGGCGCCCACCCAGTAAGTACACATCGGCGGTTCGCATTTTTCGGACCGAACTTTGAAGGCCTCATCCCTGGTGTAGCACCAGCTGTGCTGCAGGCCAGCCTCAGCCTTTCCCTCCAGCAGGCACACGCAGCAAAACACCTCAAAGTTCTGGCTTCGCAGGTCCTGCTGTTCATCCCGTCCATCAGGTGCTCGTGGTTCGGCTGGTTGTGCTGGCTGCGATGACTGTCGCCCATCTGAAGATGCTGGATCACGTCCTCCAGCCTCAGCTGGCGGCAGTGGTTCTGGTTCAACTGTAGATGCTCTTCGGGATCTTGGCTCACTGGCGTCATTTTCCTGCTCCACATTTCTCGCATGCGCCTGCAGGAATGGCACCACAACTCCAGGAACCGAAATCACCCCGCCGGTGATGTTGGCGAGGCTTCCTCATCAAAGTCCAGCGCCTCCGGCTCATACATGGCGTCCAGCTCATCTTCGTCCTGTTCCTCGTGAATCGTTGGGTCGAAGACATCCTTGTACTGCGTGGTAGATCGTGCTCGGAGTGCTTGTAGATCTTGTAGTGCAGCTTTGGGATCAGCCACCAGCGGGCTGCCCGTCTCCTCCACTCGAGGACGTACTTGATGGGGCGAACACCTCAGCAGTGATGTTCCATGCGCCAGCCAGATCACGAGGTCCTTGTAGTCGCTGTCCTTCTCGGTAGCCACCACTCGCGCAGGTCCTCGCCATTTCTGCTTTTGCAAGATGCCCGCGCACTTCTCTCGCCAGTAGTACACCACCTGTCCGATGACCACGTCATCCTTGATCTGACGGTAGTTCTGATTCATAGCTCTCCTCAGTCTTGCATCACTGTCTGCTTTCAGGAATGCCATCTGCGCTGCAAGCCAATTCTGCTGCACCGCCGCAAACTCACCGGCCTCGTCAATGGCACTGACCGTCGGGCTGAAGATCTCTCCCGTGAGGGACTGCACCTGGTTGGGGTTCTTACCCATCACCCATTGCTGTGGCGTGAATCCTCGCACCATGCTCATCGAGTTGATCTGCGAGGGGACATATACACAAGCCTGCAGGAGTCCGCTATCATTCTTCTTGCCGGAATCCTCCATGTACAGCTCCAGTGCTCGTCTCACCACTTGGTGCTTTCTCTCAACAGCGCCCAACCAGTTGTGGCTCTCCGCGGGTGCGATCTCCAGGGCAATATTTCCGCTCTGCCGTCCATTCTCGCAGAGCCTTGCTCGCCCAGCTCTTTGCTTCGTCTGTGCGCAGGTACTTCGGGATGCCAAACTGCTTGATCCATGCCCGTTCGACACCCTTGATCAGGTCCTCCGCCTTCTCGTTCTTGAGAATCCGGACCAGCGTCGTCCTCCTTCCACTGCAATCCAGGCCGAGTCCACAACGATGCGGTCGTTGAACTCCTTGCTGGTCAACCCAGCGGCAGGTGGGACACCTCCTGGTCGCTGACGAGCAACACACTGTGGGCACAGATACTCCTCGGCCGCCTTCAGCACATTCTCAGTCGCCTGCACTTCCATCAACATCTGCTTGAGCACCGGGGCAGATGGATGTCCCAGGTTCTTGTGCAATCTCTTGACGTAGCCGAAGACCTGGTTCCCCACTTTGGCCTTGAGAACCTTGTTCTTCTCAATGACCTCTTGGTCTCGTTCTTCAGCTTGAGCTTGTTTATCTCGCTGTCCATTACCTGCAGGTTCTGCTGGTACCGCGGCCTGACTCACCGGCTCCATCACCACGTCCTCATCGGCAGCATGGATCTTGTCGATATCCTGCGCCGCCATTGCCTCAGCCAACTTCCTGGCTAACGCAATCGGGTAGCTCTCCGCCAACTTGGTCCTTGGGCCTGCTCCAGGCGCATTGCCTTCCAGTGCTTGATGTGGCTCACCGCATTGGCAGGTCCTGCCAACCTTGTGGTAGAGATGCTTCTTCGTGGTGAGGAACTTGGTCGGCTTCTTCGATGGTCGCACAACTCCTTCATCATCGGGTACCTTGAGTCCATAAGCGCATTGGTCCACGTAGGTCTCATAACCCGGCAGCTGATGCCATGCATTCGTCATCCACGCTCTGCTGGTCCAGGGATGCTCCAGCGTCACCTCTCTGCTGTTGTTGTACTGCTCCATGTACACCCTTTTCACAAACTGCAGCACGTTGTTATGATCTTGCCGTCGAAGTTCCACCAGCTTCTGCTTTGCCTCGGGCGATCTGCTCGCGCTCAACTCTTGCATCTGCGACCACAGTCTGCGCATCGGTGCCATCAGGATTTCATCGGGCTCCTCTTCTCGCACGCGATCCAGGAACTTCGCCTGCACCTTCCTGTCCGTCAGGTCCCAGCCAGTGTGTAGGGAGACTTCGACATTCTTCATCTTCGCAAGCACCTTGCTTGTCCGGCCTGCCCCAACAAACACTTCCCAGATCTTTCGCTTCTGGGCTCCTTTCTCGCAGTCCTTGGCCTTTCTCAACATCCTGTTCTGGGTCGCGATCTCCTTCTCCGCCCCAGTGATCATGGTCCTCAGCTTCTTTTGAGTGAGGCGGCTCGTCTTTTCCGAATTCTCCATGCATACTCCAGCGAACCGCACCTCCAAGGCTGTCTGATTCCTCTGGGTCTTCAAGTCCAACTCGGCATCAGGCTGTCGCCTGGCATCAGGCCCTCCAGGCCTAGCATCGGATCGAGATCCGGCATCAGGGAAGAAATCACCCTGGCATTCCATTGGGCTCCCCTCCAGTGCCCTTGATGTAGTTTCCACCGCCTGCTGGTCGTCTGCCCCAGCACCATGTCCGCTATCCTCCTCCACAGCATTGATGGCATCGTCCTCATTCAGGGCCTCTATGCCCAGGTCCTTCTGAAAGTCAACGTGGTTGATGGCGTTCTCCGGGATCAGAATCTCCTCATCTTCGGCATCCTTCAGCTCGTCCACATCCTCGGCAAGATGTAGCTGGTGTTCTCCACGTGGTCCAACTGGGATGTTGATCCACTGTCCATGAGGCCATTTCATCCGCTTGTTGCCGTAGTCGATGGACACCTGCATCCTCTCCAGGATCGGTCGGCCAATGAGGATCGGCACAGTCCCGGAAATGACATACATCAACATGCGCCTCTTCTTGCCGCCCATGTAGGTGGGCGCCATAACGCATACTTGTGAGTCACCCTTCTCGGAGTTGCCGTACTTGAAGCTCTTGGTGCAGGGATGAACTTGGATCTCATCCCTGGCAACACCCTTCTCCAGGAAGTACTTCAGGTACTTCCGGACCTGCTGGCGAGATGCCAACAGTGATGCCGCACCTCCATCCTGTACGGCCACATCGTCACTGTCCGAGTCGTCCTCGTCTAGGTGGTAGATCTTGTGGTCGTCGTCCTTGACATCGTCAGCATCCTCCACCATGTTAATGTCGGCATCCTGGTCCGCCACGCGCTTCCTCTTCTCCCCAGCAGATGGACAGTTCCTTGCCCAGTGGCCTGGCTGGCCACATCGCAAGCACAACTGCTTGCCCGCTGCAGCCTTGCCTCTTGCCTTTGCCGATGAAGAAGCCGTCGGTGATGCTGGTGCCGATCTCGGTAGGGATGATCCTCCGCCACGTCCATGCTTTCCACCACCAGACTTGCCCTTTGACCGCTTGCCTTTGCCCTTGTCCTTGTCCCGGCTGCTACCTCCCCTGGCGCCAACCATCGCCACCACCGGATAGAATCCTCGGGAAGTTCGCATCCGGTTCATCTGGTTCTTGGCATTGATGTAGGCAGTGTAGACCTCATCATACTCCTCCACATCAAAGATCTCGGTCTCTTCCGTGTCCTGGACCGGCTGGTCGAAGTAGTCCTCATCCTGATCGTTCCACTCCTCGTCATCGTCACTGTAGAAGTAGATCTCGTGTGGGTGCTGCGGGAAGTCGTTCACTCCTCAGCTCCCCAGTCGTTCGTGTAGTACACATCCTTCCGGGGGCGCTCCGCCTTGCTGTCCTGGCCGATGATAAAGAACATCGCCTCCTGAGCTCTTCCCAACGTCATGTTGTCCGCGCCCATCATCGTGAGGACCATCTGGCGTTGCTCCTTGGTCACTCCAGCTCTCCGGATAAACATCCATGACAACACCTTCTCGGGGAGTTCCACCCGATGAGTGTTCTGCAGTCTCCTCTGCGACCGCGCAAACTCCGCCGCATACTCCTGCATGGTCTCACCAGGTCGCCGCTGCAACTTCACGAAGAAATTCTCAAAGTCGTCCGGCAGCTCTGTCAGTGGCTCGTGCTTGAAACCTCTGTCCAACCTCTCAAAGATCATGTCGTAGCCACCGTCCTCTGCCAGGCGCTCCATGTCCAGATCCTCCACCAAGTCCCAAGCCTTGCCCGTCAGCATCGTGATGATGTTGATGGCAGTCTCCTTGCTTCGTCCTGCGAGTTCCATCTTCTTGCGATAGATTGTGCACCTTTCCGGTACTCGCGGTAGTCCTGCTGCTTGCCAGTGAAGGTGGGGACATAGCTGTCAGCACGGCTGTTGTTATCTCCCTTTCCAGTTCCTTTTCCTCCGCCATCACCATCTGTGGTTGCCATCCTTGGAGTAGGTAGCGTCCACGGAGCAGATCTGGTCGTAGAGCTCCGCTACCAACAACAAGAAGTCCTTCACTTCTCCAGGCCGCCGCGCACGAAGTCGTCAGCCACTTTTCTCCTCAATCCATCCGTGAGGCGTAGCCTATTTGCTTTAGCTCGAGCCCACCCTTCGTGTGAGCATCAAGATTCAAGGACATGGCATGTTCTTCACAAAGCCCAAATCGGGCAAGCCATCGGTCACCGGGTGTTTGTTCGGGGTTGGTTGCCGAAGCGCACTAAACCCCTTTTGAGGTCCCCTGCAAAGTGCCCTTGATCTTCCAAGACCCTGAAACAGCAGGCCTTCGGCCGAGAATTGAAACCACGACCAAAATCAAGCAGGACCCTGGTTTTGTGGTCCGCGGAAAACCACTCTCTTGTTCTAGGGCAACAAGTCGAAACCTGGCCCAAGGCCCGGAAGGAGCTCCTCCCTTTGCCTAAAGAACCCGGAAAGCAAACGTGGGGACGAGTCCAAGTCTCTCATTTGGAAGAGATGTTGTGTGATCCAGGCGTAACAAAGCCCCAAACGAAATGGGACCAAGGCCAAATGCCCCCAGTTGGGTGAGATCTCTGGGCGCGGTGGTCAGGAAGCAAGATGAAACGCACAATGCCAGCCTTCACATCGTTGAACACCTCCTCATGGCAAAACATTCGAGCTCCCGCGACTTATTGTCGGGTTCCTTAGACATTCACCCATAGGACACTCATTTGTGAGTTTGTGTTTTTTCTCGGGACACCCAATATGGTGGTTTCCTTTTGCTTGCTTGCTTGCTTGCTTGCTTCCTGCCTTCCTTCCTTCCCTCCTTCCCTCCTTCCCTCCTTCCTTCCTTGCTTGTTCTTTTTGTTTGTCTGCCTTTTTCCAACTGACCCCTTAGAGAAGCCTGCACTAAAACAAAGCAGCTCTGGATGACCCCCCACCCCCCCCTGGGAAGAACACACGGGCGCATTGGATGCGACCAAAGTTTGATGCTCCAAGGCGCCGATCGGAAGGGGAAACCAAAGAAAACCGAACCAATTCTCTACCCTTGGGTCGTAAAAGAACAGCCAAAGGAGCGACACCGTATGTGGGTCTGTCATTTGTTTGGGAGGACTCCCCAAAATGGGGTGTTTCCTCTTGGTGTCCCTGTGAAACCAAAAACCAGGGGATGCCATGCAACAAGACACACACATGTTCTCTCAGAATTCACAACAAACCTTGCGCAATTCCCTTCGCAACTCAATGGCTGCTGTCCTTTTCATCTTGCGTGGCCGTTGGCAATGCTGGAAAAATGGTTGTGGACCCAAATGTTTGGCACTTTGGGGAAGCGGGGCCAGACTGGTCCAATTGCAGACAGCCAACCGCTTGCTAGCTGATAAGGAAAACCACATTGGTAGCTGACTCCTAAACAAAGGGCAAGACGTTAAATCAGTGCGCTATGTTTATGACCAAATTGCAGTTCAAAGGGAAGCCAAAGGAGCCCCGGAAATATGCGACATGCCTCCAAGAGAACCTGGAAAGTGTTCAATATTTTGGGACCTTTTCCAAAAACAGTTTCAAAGTGGAAAACGATAAGGGTCAAAGGGTGGCTTTAGCCAAATGAGCCCCTATAGAAAGGTGTTCCCCCCAAAAGTCATTGGGACCCCCTCTAAAATGGGACACCGACCCCTGGTCATGCACCAGGGATCCAGGTCATTGGAGCAGTAAACCTGCGGCGAAACCCTTCATGCCAAAGCTCCTGGTCTGACACCACTGTCTCAACATGCACTCCCATGGCTGACGGGCGGAATAGCAAGGCCTATCGGTTTCGGACACGCGGCGAGGAACAACCTTGAACATGTTGCTTAAACATCTGTCGAGTTTTCTCCCGGTGCTCATTTCGAAGATTTGGCTGTGAACTCAACTTCTCTTCTTGAACTGTCCCCTTCGAGCCTTGCCCTTACCTCTGTCAATCGCATTTACTGTCGGTTCAATTCGGGCGGGTGGAACTACTTCGTTGTCGGGAACGAATCTTGGATCGGCCGAACGAGTCGCGCTGAGCCGGGAGAAATAGTCGGCCGATGTTGGGCATCCTGACCATCCAACTTGCCCAAGTCCTAGCCTTCAACTGGACGTCCATGGGAAAAAAATGCCAATCCCCTCCTTTGTGGTAGCTGACTTTACCAAGAAAAACCACACGGAAACACGGGCGCTGGAGATCTGTTCGAAGCCTACGGGGCCGGGGTAGGATTTAGCAGCAAATCCCCTGAAAGTGGACCCTCCCAGGCACCCAAGGCTGCAGATTGACGAAAGGGCCAGGGCAATGAACCGTTCAGGAACATGTTTTCTGGGAAAACACATACCTAGAGTCTCCATGACCCTTAACAAATGGGTCCATGACCCCTGAATTTTGGGTAATGACCTCATTTTCGAAGGGTCATGGAGACTCCAGGTACTATAAGTCACCAAGCGAACAGAGCTGTTCCTATGACAGAAACCGTCATGGGGGACTGCTCAAACTCCCAAGAACCTCACGCCGCTATAAATTGCTGCAGATGCTTGTGATTCCCTTGAACACAATCTAGAAATCAACCACTCTTGTTCAAACAACCTGCCTTGAAAGCCTTGGGCGACCCTTCAAGTCCCTTCCAAAGCATGGGAATTCGTGGCTTGTCTCGTGCGCCCACGTGGGCTTCCCTTTGGCTTCGTCCAAAACCTCAAAAAAAGAACCACTTGTCAGCTTGTCTCCCCTTTGTGATTGCCTCCGACTCCCCAGTGCCACTGACTAGTGACTAGTGACAGGTGACGCCTATTGCTACGTGGGGGTTCCTCAAAAGCTCCCATGAACATGGGATGACCATTGGTGGGAAAACCACGAGGAAAAAAGATGAGATGTGTCAAGCACATGGGAAAAGTCACCCATGGGCAAAACTGGGGGCCGAACGGAATATTGATCAACCCCCATGTCTCTGAACCATGTCCACGGTAACGCGCCTGTCCCGCAAGAGCTGCCTGGCGGAGATAGGAGCAACATGCGGAAGCTGCAGGTGAATGTTCAGACGAACTAACGCGGCTTGTCTGAATCTGGTAAAAGAAACACAGAGGAGATTCCTCTACAAGCACATGCCATGATGTTCGCTTTCTCCCACCAAGCAAACCAATAGGAAACCGAGGGCGGATCGAACATGACGGGATCCAGGTGAAAGGGCAATCCCTCTGGTTTGTGTTGTGCGGTTCACCCCAACTCACCTTCCGATTCGCCGGGAAGGAGCCTCAAGGCGGCCCAAACGCAGCTCAAGCTGCTCCTGCGCCTGCCAAACCGCCAGTTTCGACTCGGAGATCGGAGACCCCTGTGGTTGGCAAAAACGGGTTAGACTCGAGGGGAAGCAACCGTTTTGTGACTTTGATAACTAGGAAAACTGTGAAGGCTAAGTCTTCTGGCCACGGATGCGAACAGCTTTCAGGGAGGTTCCAGGTATTCGGTTCCGCCAGGGTTCCAAAGGTTGCTGTTGGGGATACCTGAGTCACAATCAAAACCTGGTACAAAAATGGTGAACCCAAAACCATGTAAAGAATTAGAAAGGCGGCCTCAGCTATTTCCGGCTGGGACTGCCCCTTACTAACCCTCATCTACCCGGGTTTTGATTGTGGCTGGCGGTAGCGGCGCTGTCTATCCTCCAGGGCATTGCCTGGGAATCACGGAGTGAACCCAAAACGCGAAAGAAGGGCCACAAGGGTGTCGACCTGCGAGGAAAGTTCAGCGACTCTTGCCTCACAGGCCGCAGGCAGAATAGCCTCTGAATACTGCACCTTGCACGGGGGCATCCGGCGAAGCCTGCCGAGCCTCGTCCAGGGAACTGTGAAACCACAGAGCACACAACGAGGCTCGCAAGGGTCCCAATCGGTGCCATAGCAGTGGGAGAGCCCGGGGGCACCGGCCAGACGACTGGCCCACCCGGTCATAAGATGTTTTCGTCGACCTATACAAAACCGAAGTCTTCGCACAGAGGAGTTCCCGAGTGCTTCGCGCAGCTGCCCGGCGTCCAAGCTGTAAAGGAAGTTGATCGGCACCACCTCAATGAGGTACTCTTTCAAAAGGATCTTGCATGCATCCAGACGATCCTGAACCGAGGTCAGAGCATCAAAAATGATGCAAGGGCGGTCATGGATCTGGTTCAAGCCGGGAAGAACCGGGCCCGCCATCTTATCATTCAAACGAGACCGAACCACCAGGGAGGCAAACACAGGCGAAGACCTCCAGCAAGTGATAGATGCGCCAACCTGATCCATAGTGACGTAAAGCTTACGCAGCGGCCTGCCCAGCATAAGATATTCCTCATTCAAGTTGACCAGAACTTTAGTCCCAATGTTGATGCCGTCGTGCCGTGGAAGCATCAGCCCAAAGGGCAACGTCGGCAGCGGAGGCCAAGACTGACAAAGCTCCAACATGTCCGGCTCGGTTTCAACATCAATCGGAATCCCTTGCATTTTGAGAATACCCAGACATAACATCCGGATCTTCCACTGGGCCTCACGAGCAGTCTTGATCTTCCGCAGGAAAGGCGCTTTGTCCCCTGCAATAAAGATGAAGAGCAGCAAGGCCTCAATCCAAGTATGCCTTCTTGAGAGGGTTTCAGCTTTGCCTTTGTCAAATATGCACCAGTCAAGCATACCCCGAAGGAGGTGGAAGTCTTCAATACACCCACCCCAGTACCATAAGTTAGCTTTGACCGCCATCATATCAGGGTCGATAGTCAAGAATTGTCCCCTTTTAAACACAACGTGGCCGTGGAAGGGGGAGCTGAGCAAATAAATATCCTCCGGCTGAGCGTGCTGTCGATCAGCACGATCAGACTGCACCGGAGCATGATCAAGCTGAATATTGTAATCAATTGTACGGAGATCGCGGTGACGAGCTTCCCATTTACCAAGGAGGTCAACCGCTTGTCGTTGAATCGTACCCCATTTAGCCTGAAGCCTAGGGGGAAGGTCCTTGCAGAACACAAGAAGGTGTTGCGAACAGGGGCTCCACTGTAACCAGGATTCCCAACCTTCATCCCATTGACTGCGCAGATCGGCCCAAAAAGGGCATTCCCAAAACAGGTGCGCCATAGTTGCGTCATGGTGTCTACATTCTCTGCACTCTGGAGTATCAGTGAACTTCTTGACAAATTGCACGTGGAAGGAATTGATCCCGTTGATCAGCACTCGAATGAGCTTTTGTTGCACGGGGTGCCCTTCAGGCAATAAGTGAAGAAGCGCAGTGGTTGTGCCGAAATCGTGGTTGCCGATTCCCTTCCAACAGGTGGAGTTGCACTGTTCCAACTCAGAAGCAATCTTGTTACGGAAGGAATGACTAAGAGCCTTGCTCATAACTTTGCAGTCGCTACTTCCAAAGGTCCAAAGCAATCTACCCTCATCGTTGCTAACTTGCAGATTGTCAATGTTCAAATGAAGCTGCAAATACTCCAAATCCTTCTTAAGCTGGGAAACAGGGCCAATCTTCTTGATAGAGGGAAGAGCTTTCTCCCAGCTCTGAATCACAGCATCCTTGAAGGCGGGCCTCTTGAAGGCATGATTGTTCCAGAAGAGCAGGTTCCTCCAGACAAAGAAAAACTCAGGGTCCATAAGCAAGTAGTTCTTCTGAAACAGAATTCGAGCCGAAAAGGTCCCAAGCTTGCTTCCGTGTGCCGCAGTACGAATAGCCGTGCGAAGCTGCCTGAGCTGATCCTTAGTCGGTCTCAGTGTAGCGCCTGCATACGTAAGCATGGGAATAATGACCGTGCGTACAATCATATTGGTGGTGGCCGCAGGTTGGTTGGCCCTTGCAAGCAATTGTAGCGCGGTAATAGCTCTGTGTATTTTCTTTTCAAACCAAGTCTTAGAAGAAAAGAGCCCGATGGCCAGGGGAACACCAAGGTAATCAACCGATTTGACTTCCTTGACCACTTGTCCATCCCGCCAACAAAGCGGTGTGGACTTCTTCACATCTCTGATTTGACAAGTCTTAATTTGCGTGCGAAAATTATGAAGCGTATCCCAGGCCTCGGTACGTCCAAAGGCATGCTGGAGTTCATTCGAGTCACCTTCCGTGAAAAGAAGCCTATCATCCACATACACATAATTGTAGACAGCGCTGTTGAGATCTCTTGACCAGACCGCCAGCACCAGGCTAGCGGCGGCCATACTGATGGGGTCACCCTGAGGCAACCCGATCGTCCCAAGAACGGGCCGTCTGGCTACTATGCCTGAGGTGGAAACGAATCTCCTCATGTGCCTGATGGAGTGAATCCAGGTGCCGACAGCCGCCTGATGCATACCCCATTCGGATAAGGCATGACAAGCGAGCCAATGTGGGATACAATCGAAGAACTTGACTGTGTCGATTGCCACACCATGAAATGAGAGGTGCGTCTCATTCTGGCATTTCTCAGCCGATAGAGAGGCGTGCAGCCAAGCCTGGTAGCCACTGCGCTGAGGTACACCCCCAATGATGTTCTCAGGGAGGTTATCAAAGGTAATTTCACCACACTTCAAAAGCCACTTGTGGAAAATGCGCAGAGCCGTGACTTCGATAGTTATGGGTCTCATGGCATCGAGATCAAAGCCGGCTTCACCTTTCGGAATAACCACAAGTTTAGCATTAAGCCAGTGCTTGGGAACCCTCCCGCAAATAACGCAAAGCATAAAAAGACTGTGCAGGAAATCCACGCCTCTAGGCGGAAGCTTTTTGAAATGCGCGTAGGTCCAACCACCAAGCCCCGGCGACGAGATACCTTTCCCGTTTCTGAGGATCCGATTGAGGTGTTTCACATTCCACATATCTGCAGGGACTTCGTGGTTGGCGTTGCCT